CCAAGGTACGTCATTTTGATCTTTCGTTCAATTGGCGGATCTATAGACGCATGTTGAGGAATTTTCCAAAACTTTCATAAGGTTTTGTTGAATTTTTCGCGCCGAAGTGTGACTGTTTGATTTTTTTGCAGCTCTCAGAGATGTTGGGCGTAAAAATCTTCAGTTTCAATTAAGGGCTTCAGCGTGTTTGTACTTAATGGCAACCTTGGGTTTTTAGACTTTGATTAGAAAAATAGACGATAGAATGATTATATTAAAGGCCAATATTTTCTATGTTTAATCTTTATTCGTTATCTTGGCATTTTTTCAATTTGGGTTGAGATCGATACATGTACCTGCAGTCATTAGTCTCGTCAGACTTTTTGCATTGTAAGGGTATTCTTGACAAAAAGGACGAACGGATTTTATAGATAACTCAGGTCTCTAGGCTAGGAGAAACATTACTTTAGACATTAGCAGAACAATATGCTGTCACACACACTCATGTAGGTACTAAAACTTTTCACAAGTTTAATAGTTTCACAAGTTTAATTCGTGAACATTAACGGGGCGTGGGGAGTAGGACCTAAAGTTAGACCTAAGTAATGTGGGTCGTTTGTACTGTTTTGAAGTCTAGGACATACTTGGAGTTTACCACATTGCCTAAGTTGTGTTCGGGTTTAATTACAGGTACATACTACGAAAGTTGTGTAATCCAAACACAATTATGCAATTGAGATTTCGGCTAGCTCAGTTTAGTCTTTTGTTGAGCGGCAGTGAGAGAGAGAGACTGCTGAGAACATGGTGTTGGATTTCATCTTCATGTAAGAATATAATTGTTGAGATTTTCTATTTCTTAGTTTTATACCCTTACACTAAAGTTGTAACGTAAGTTCATCGATGCAAGGTAATATTATGATGATAGCATAATATGCTGCTGATATTTGGTGATATGACAGTACTTGAATGTATGGTAAAGCGCCATGTCGTCAGGTTATTTTGTGTTACGTAAATTTCCATACGAGCATAAATTAATTGCGGTTAGTGTCTCATGACAAATTGCAAAATGGTTTTCGAGACGAAATCATAATTTATACATATTGTACAGTAACAGACAGAAGTGCACTTCCAGGGTGCGATACGCCCTGTGTACGGTGACACTGGACTTTTCACGACCGATTGTACATATGCAGATTGTATAACTATCTAACTAGCTTTCTCGCTGCGTCCGTTGTGTTGAATTTGAATTATTTCTTTCAACTCTAAAAACTTGGGTTTAAACCTAAGCTTTTTGGAAAATAAGCTTCGAAGTAGGTAATTTCATATAGTTGGTAAACGAGCAGACACTAGAGGCATAACAGGTTCGTTACCAGCCTTTTGGGGATTAGGAATTTTAGGATAGTTGGGAATTCAGGGATTGGGGAGATTTGAAAAGGGAAGGGGGTGCGTTTGGGCCTCCGATAACCTCATTAACGTACCAGCGACGCAACGTAAGCCGAAGCAGGCTTCGGCATGAATGGGCTCTCCCACATTTACTAGGATAGAAAACCAAAAGATTTTTATATTGCTCTCATGCCTCTAAAGAGCCAAGATCAGCTCCCTAGACGGAAAAATACAACCACTATCTCGAAGACAATACATAATACTTTTCGGCAGGAAGGGGCTGGCTCGACCGGAATGATACCACTCCATTCCTGCCGTTATCCGGCAAGAATGGACAGACGACCCATTCCTGCCGAAGCATGGCTCTCCCACACTCAGTTAATGCAAACAAACAAACAATCAATGATAAAAATTACATAAAGAATTGAAGCTAAATGTAACTTTATAAATGCAAAGTTTAATACAATATTTCCGCTGGTCTCTGTAAAACATTTCATATAATAAAAAAATCAGACAAAGAATTAAAAATTCCGGTCAGATCGGAACGTTTAAAATGATTTAATGTTTAATTTACGTTTCCTTCTTGAAGCGGATTGCAATTTACATTTATTATTTTGTCACAAATTGGGTGCTTAATATTTTATGAACGACTTTTTGTATTATGCTTCATTTAGTCACAATTTTAAAAGAGTAATTGTAATATAGTTCTTCAATAACTTCACCACAGCATACCATAAGATACTGTTAATAAGATTTAACGGCTTATTCATCGCCAGTATTGCTTGCTCGTTAATGTGAGTCCCCCGTGTGTTCAGATATTAGTTGAGCTAACTCGTAAAAGACTTTTGTTAAACATAATCTGGTGTTGCATACCATCAGGTGATTCGTCTGGTCGTTTGTCGGACTATCCTATAAAATAATCAAGTAAGACATAAAATACAAAAATATAACAAAAGTGTCTAGATATCTGCCCTACATGGGTTGGGATAAGTCGATTCTCGGTACAATCCCACGGGACAACCATTGCCTTTTTTTTTTTTTTGTTAAGGGGGAAAATCATCGAATGACTGCCCCCGCCTGGGTGAGGCGGGAGGGAGTGTCAGACTCTTACTGACTAAAAACCACCCCGTTCCTTCTCCTGCACGTCGAGCCGGAGCCCCGGTTACCCGTTAGGTTCTCCGCGACTCCGAATCGGCATCGGCCCTACTGGGCCCCATCTGTGGTGGTCTGATGGCTCTTTGAGGCGCGCGCGGAACGCGACGCGCCGTACGCTCGGGTCTGTTTCTGGTCGGACGGGGAGCCACCCATGCTCGCCGTCCGCAGGCCCGCGCTTACGGTGGCCGGAGATCGTCCCGCGATCCCCGACGCCCGGTGTGTCCTTCGCGATGGCTGGGTTGCGAGGAGGCAGCGCTTCGCTGCCTCACGCGTCCCGCCTCCTCCTTAGCTAGCATGACTGCTTCGCAAAAGGAGGAGACGGCATCCCAATCCCCCTCGCTCCGCATCATGGCCTGCACTAGGCCCGGACGCGAGAGGTCGCCATCGCCGATCACTTCCCTGAGGACACGGCGGTGCTCAGCCCACGAAGGGCATTC